TTCATCCCCGTCTTGAGATCCTGAAAAACACACATAGAAGGGTAAAAAGTAATAGAGCAATTGAGTGACTTGGTCAACTTACTAACAGACATAAGGTTAAACGGAAATTTAGGGACATACAAAACTGAGGATAAAGATAAGGGGGTCAAGTTAACATTGCAAACACCACAAATCGAGGATGTGGAACCATTAGCAAGGATAACAAATTGTAATGTTGAGCAATGAGAGAGGGAAGAAAACACACCTAGAGTTCCAGTCATGTGATCGGAGGCTCTAGAGTCAATAATCCAGGGATTGGGTGTGGATGCCAAACAAGCGATACCTGAGTGTGCGAAAGTAGTCGTGTTCTGCTGATATGTGAATTGGAAAAACCTCTCATACTCATCACGGGGAACACTCACCATCTCCTTCCCAAAAACATTTGTGGATGTAGGAGGCATCTGATCAGCTGAATGATTCTCCTGTCTGAAACTGGTGTCACTAGTCAGGGCATGATTGGCCCAAGTTGAGGGTGGACCATGCAAGTCATAACAATAATTAATGGTATGTCCATCCATACTACAATGAGTACATCTCCTCGGACCCGAGCCATGTCCTCTGCCACGAGCTCCTCCTGAATCTCTACCTCCAATACGACCACCACCACGGTTATATGTAGGTCCACCACCACCACTCCGGCCATATATCGGACCATGGCTACCACCACGGCCAGATTGAGCTCTTCGAACTCCACCTCTAACACCACGGCCCCTTGACACTGCAAAGGCTGATCTATCAGAAACATTAGAGTTCTCAATAGATCCAATGGAAGTCCTCCGAAGTCGAGCAAATACCTCTTCTAAGGAAGGGAGAGCTGACCGTCATAGTATCTGAGCCCGCACTGGTTCATACTCAGATTTCAGCCCCACCAAAAATTAAGTCACATCAAGTTGTTCTCTTTGTTGTTGCTGAATTTTGACATCAGAAGTGAGGGGTGATAAACATTCAACTCATTACGAATGTTTCTCATACTAGCATAGTACTCCTCAAGACTCTGATTGCCCTGTTGCAAATTAAAGTATTCCTGATACAACTGATATACTCTAGTTGTATTGTCTTCACCAGAATACAACTTCTTAGCATGGTCCCACACATCTTTGGCAGTGTCGAGAAACATGAA